CAGGTAAGGATGGCAGTTTCCTTCCCTAAAGGACATAAGTGAACCAGATGTGTTTTTCTGACAATCGACAATGGATTCACGGTCATCGTTAGGCTGTTAATTCCAGATATTTATTACATTCAAATTCCACCATCTGCTGTGGTAGGATTTGAACCCAGGTCCCCAGAATATTATCTGGGTCTCTGGATTAATAGTCCAGTGATAATACCATTAGGCCATCGCCTCCCCAAAGCAAACATTCCCGTGAAGACAACAACACAAGCCATAATTATCAAGTAGTTCTGTTTGTTCACATATTTTAATGCGAAGTCATTCACCATCAATTCTAGCTGCTATGAGGTTCTCTTGGGCCTGTCTACCTTATCTCACTACATCCTGGCTGCTTAAGCATCCTCAATATCAGCAAAGGCCCACTGCAGCATTTGTCAGATTCTACATTTTCCTTGTCTTCAAGATGTACAACTTAGAAACAAACCCTTCGGTCCAACTCATCCATGCCAACCAGATACCCTATCTAAACCTAGTCCCATTTGCCAGAAGTTGGCCTTTATCCCTCTAAACCCTTCCTATTCATATACCTATCCAGATGCCTTTTAAATGTCATAATTGTACCAGCCTCCACCTCTTCCTCTGGCAGCTCATTCTATACATGCACCATCCCTTTTAAATCTTTCCCCTCTCACCTTAAACCTATGCCCTCTAGTTTTGGATTCCCCCACCCAGGGGAAAAGACCTTGTCGATTCACCCTATCCATGCCCGTCATGATTTTGTAAACCTCTATAAGGTCAACCCTCAGCCTTCAATGTTGCCCAGTCTATTCAGCCTTTCTCTATAGCTCAAACCCTCCAACCCTGGCAACGTCCTTGCATATCTTTCCTGAACCTTTTCAAGTTCCACAAGATCCTTCCTACAGCAGAGAGACCAGAATTGCAAGCAGTATTCTAATAGTGGCCTAACCAATGTCCTGTAGAGCCACAAAATTACCTCCTAACTCCTATTCTCAATGTACTGACCAATAAAGGCAAGCATACCAAACACCTTCTTCACTATCCTATCTACCTGTGACTCCATAGGAGTTACCTGCTCTTTGTCTTTATTCTCACTCCATTGTTTAGAAGGTTGTTGAATACACAGCAAATAATCACTATTCTGGAGACCTAGTCTGGAAAATACTGTAGTGCTCCTAAGTGAGCAGTTGAAGCAATAAAAGCACATCTTCAAAACTGTTTGTTCAATGCCGGACCTCATAGATGAAGGATTACACACTGGGATTATTAGCTATGCTTTCTAGGGGTACCCTGGTCACCCAATGGCCAGCCCTGGAACTGATTCTGGGAAATGAATATTTATGGAATGCGTAGAATCTAGGATATGTGCCGAATGCAAGTGTCATGACCGTTTCATGGATAGCTAGGATAAACCTACAGAATCTGTTATCTGTGTCATAGACAAGCTAGACAGTGAGGGAGTGAAATCACTTCCTGTTTAGGAATCTGACTGGATATTGCCATGGAGCTCCCAGGACCACATGGTCAATTGATGGTCCCTTGTACTCAAGTCACGTCAGCAAATCTCGAGCGCTTATTGTGCTGAAGACCCTGGCTTCTTTCTTCTGCAGTGCAGTTCCCAACAGCGTCCTTATTAGCTCTCCGGGACACTGGTGAACTAGAAAAACTGCAGTGTTCCTGTAAAGGCTTTGGTGAATTCACTAATGTACTTTTGAGACGTCACACAATCATCTGACCACAGGTCGGGATAAGTTCAGGAAACCAATGTGGAATAAAACAATCTTTTGAACCAAAATTACCGTTTTATCTAAAGACATTTTAGCTAGTCACATCAGTCAGGCATTAAGTAATCTGCATATCTTGTTTTGATTTACACTTGTATAAAAGAATGCATGCATTCATCATTAAAGGTTGCCTACAACTAAAGACAATGGAGCCAGATTTGCAAATACACAGTTGAACCATATTAAGGCATGTTGCTTGTCACAGCAGCATACAAAGAGGCAAAAAAAATGGATTGGTAACCGAAGATTCTCTTTCTCCCAATTCATTCTCATTACGATGAAAGATATAGATAACAAGATGTACAGCTGGATGAACATAGCAGGCCAAGCAGCATCAGAGGAGCAGGAAAGCTGACTTTTCTGAAGAAGGGTCTAGGCCCGAAACGTCAGCCTTCCTGCTCCTCTGAAGCTGCTTGGCCTGCTGTGTTCATCCAGCTCTACACCTTGTTATCTCAGATTCTCCAGCATCTGCAGTTCCTACTATCTCTGAAACGATGAAAGACATTTCTAGTGATGAAACAAATCAGAGAAGCATCCATTCACCAAGAGCTGAAACATCCTCAAATTTAATTACTGTTGAAGGTACAAGACCCAGCTAATAAGGAAGCTGTTGGGAACTGCACTGCAGAAGAAAGAAGCCAGGGTCTTCAATGCAGTAAATGCTCAAGATTTGCTGTCATGACTTGGGTACAAGGGAGCATCAATTAACCATGTGGTCCTGGGAGCTCCATGGCAATATCCAGTCAGATTCTTAAACGGCTATAGTGTCAGGTTCAACTATAACAGCTCAAGGACTCTAAAAGCTTTAAAACTACAAATTATTTATTTTCCTTTCGTACTAGGCACTCTCTCCTTTTTAAAAAAATTACACCCATCTTTGTGTGTATGATGTATGTCTTTGCTTTATTATTTTTCTCAGGGTTAGTAGAGAATGATATTCTGAATTTCACACAGGAAAAATTTGCAATTGGTTCCTTAGCTGTTTCTAGAGACCGTGTTTTAATATGCATTTATTGTGACCTACTAGCAGCCAGGGAGGCGGCCAGAGCTTTGTGAAATGACAGGAGCCAATTTATCCCTCCTCACCTGGTTATGACAAAGCTCACTGTTGCTATGATCTTCAGTATCACAGGCACAGTGCTACCTCCCAAGCCATCTGGCTGCTGATCTGCCTACAGGAGATGGCAGCATCCCCAGCTCCTCCAGCTCCACACCTTGTTATCTCAGACTCCAGCATCGGCAGTTCCTACTATTCCCTAATCAAACGAAGACAGCTTCAACATCATCTTTCATTCTTCTGCAGGCAGCTGCTATACCTCTGGTATCCCTTTCTTGATAAAATGCTTGATGGTTTTTTTTTTCTTCTGCAGTGCAGCCCCCCAACAAACTCCTTTCTTTGGTTCTGTTGGTACTGGATATTCTTATTTTTCCTTATTTTTCTTAACCTCAGCGAGTACAGATGCTTGGTTGAGTTGGTCAAACAGCTAGCATGGGAGTTCTAATCTGGGAAGATACATCAGGAACTAGATGTTTGTTTTTCATTTGAGATCTTGACATAGGTAAACTATCCTTTGGGGCCTTATCAAAGACTCTGTCATGGGCAAAAGCCTGCCCTATAGCCACCTTTACGTGGTGAGGTGCATGCGCTTTGTCCCATTACTGTTTTCTTTTTTTCTTCAGTCTGCCATCCGCAAGATCTTTACACCTTTGTTCCGTACATTGCTTTCCACACATGCACCAATTAGCTAAATTCGATTCTTGATGGCCTTCGTTATCCCTTGTGATAATAGACCTAAAACCTTGGAATCTATAGCCTGCATAACAATTTGATCCTAACGTCTTTACATATCAGATACACAGGCCCGTGAATCTAACTTCATGGCTGCATGTGGAATAACTCGTCCCACCAACATGAATACTTGTTGGTGAGTCTTAGGTGCCCTTCTTCTCAGAGTTTAAAAAAAAACCATGAGACAATTGAGATGCTGGTATTTGGAGCTGCTACAGGTTACTTAACTTTATCCTGCAGTAAGTGCTTTGCTTCAGTGAAAATGTAAGACCACATATGAATGAGATTTCTCATGTGCTGGTTGACCTTCTCAGTCTCCGCCCCTTGTGCAAAAAATGTTTTAACTATAAAGACGCCAAATAACTGCTGAGATTTGTACTCACTGGAACTAGAAGGAAGAAGTGCACCCTACCAGGTACATGCTTCGTATATATAGTTGGGTTTCTGCACACATGTCGCCCCCTTTATCCTAACAAAATTGTGCCCATGAATGTAACTCCAGCTGGCAAGTGTGTTAATCAGTAATCAAGGCATGTAAACTGACCCACCAAAAAGGCTCTGAGATTGTAAGTAAAGATCTGTAACCCACCATCAGGTAAGTGAAATTCATTCCCCTTACCAACCTGCTGAAAGTTCCAGATAGTCCTGGGAACATCCACCCACTGTTTCTATTTGAACATTCTGATTAGAATCAAATAAGAAATAGTAACAGAGGATAGTTAACTAAAGGTGTAGTTTGGAAAAAAAGATTTTTTTCAGATAGAAGTTTGTAATAGGAGTTTTGTTGGATAAAAATGTCTGAAACCAAACTGTAAAATGTCAAGATATGATTTCCCACTGGTATTCTGTGAAGTTGAATTTTATGGTCAATGGAAAAATGAAGTAGATATATGTACATGGGTTATTGAAGGACAAATCTTAACACTGACTACAAAAGCAGAATAAGGTTTAAAGTATTTTCAGAGCTGGAGGATTGTCAGTTGGACGCAGAGAAAGTTTTGATTAATCTATTAATGTTTATAGACAAAATTTATTGAAAGGCAAACAAACAAACAAACAAACAGTTGATGTATACAAGCAATGGTCAGACTTTGATAAATTTAGTAATCCATTTGGTAATTCCATTGAAGAACAAATAATGTAATTTAATATTAATTATATTAATATTCAAGACGGAAAATTTTCAACTTACAAATTCCTAATTTAGTGCTCACATTTAAATTGTTTGACTGTGCTAAGTTGTCAAAAACAGATAGACTCCTAGAATTAACTGGAGTTAGATTTTCATAAAGGGATTTTGGAATAGATGCCGGAAGACTTAAAAAAATTCTTGGGAAAACGTTCATTCCATCACATCAGTCTCAGAAAATCAATTGCTTGTAATTACGTAGGCTCAGTCACAATTTGTTCTCTCACAGGTAGTTTTCGCAAGCAGACTCAGGCAGCAGTACCTGGCTGAGGGGTGTTCCTTCGCAGGAACCACCAAACAGCAGTCTCTGGCTGAGATGCAGTGGTTTTGCGAGCAGGGGGAGCTAGCTGTCTCTGACTGAGTGATTGAACTTTAATCGCAGCCAGCTTCTAGCTCAGAGGCAGAACTTTAGCATAAGTGGAAAGACAGCCAGCAACTGACTCAAAAGAGCAGGGAATAATCTGTGGGTCACAGGTGGTGCTTGCAAGTCATTCATATGAACACAAGATTGGAATTTCATCATAATGATCTGAACATCAAATGTGTAATCAATTCCCATTCTGGAAAAAAAAGCATCCAAAGTGGGAGGAGCAAGTAACAGTTTTTCAGAGAAAACAGAACGTAGCAGTGGAATATGAGGCCTTCTAGGGGCCATTACAGTCATCGTGCCTCCAGTGATTAAATAATGTTAGTCATCTGTCTTCAATTCACAGTTAATCTGAATGTTTAAACTGATCAGAGCATCCAGTTCTGAAATACTCTCATGAAGGAATGTCTGAGTACATTATGCCCACTGATTGCCATCCTGTGATTTCTGAACTTGACAAGTTTCAATGGAACAAAGCAAAGCACTTTTGACACAATTCACCTTTTAAATGTCAACTATACCAATCTATCACCCTTTGTGATATGCAGAGATGCACTTTCAGTGGAGAGTTAGACTAAGTGATGGCCTTCGAGTTTGAGATAGCAGGGAAAATATGGTGTCCCTTATCCTTGAGGAGCACAGTTGATCACTTACCTTCTTCAGAATGGTTTGTCTATCCCTTTATTGATCACCAACTGCACTTACCTGTGATATGATCTCTGCCCAGGCTGGGAAAATTTGACTGGCTAGCCTCCTGATGTGGTCAGGTGGAAAGAGGACAGAGCCTCTCTTCCCCTCCTCATCCAGCAATGGAGGGTATTTTTGGTGAAGCTGAGAGGCAATTTTGCCTTCTCAGGATCCATGCTTTCAGTAGAAGGGGCAACAACCACATTGCTGAGGTGATACTCCTGGCTTGCAGTGAGTGTAGTGATGTCCGGGTGACTTATAAATATGGTGCCAGAGCCTTTGACACTAGATGGCACTGCCAGTAGCAAGAGCTTCTGATTCATTTGCCATGCGAGTGACTCATGCAACTTCTCACTTGCATTGATAATAAGATGAGAACTACATGAGTATGCCAGGTGACCCGCCATGAGCATTGCCACATATGATGCCATCCAGCATGCTCAATATCATTTTTAACTCCAAACTGGGAAAATTCTATCCTATGTCCTTTAATTTCTATTTGAGCATCCTGGTTAGAATCCAACAACAGTACAGACAAAGTGCATGAGTCCTATAATAGCACTTTTTGTCTTTGCTATATATATTATAGATAATATATATATTAAAAATTCAAACTCCAGTTGAAAAAAATTGTTCCTTTTGGAAGCTCATACAGCTCTGTAATGCACAGCTACCGAAAATGTCCTTTGAAATAAACCTCTTTTCTCTCAAGTGCTTATCAAAATAAACAAAATATCTTTCAAAACAGTTAACCCTATCAACACCTCCGGTCAGTCAAACACAGTACATTTTACTATCTAGGACTATGTCAACAACGTGTCTGAAATTCTGCGTTCTATTCATTTTAAAAGTTTGGAACCCAGCCAAGCGTTCATAATGCAATTGCATTGCACAAATCTAAACAAATTCTGGAGAGCTAAATGTAACAGATCACTGAAACTGCCTGATGCCTATTCATCTGCTCCTTTAATTAAAAGGCTAAAATATAGTTTCAATTGGTACAACTCAACAGAGGTCTGGATTTTAAAACAAATCTGAAGAAGAATTGTTTTTAGATGATGCTCTTAAATCAGATTTCTAATTTGATTAAATGCAAGAAAGTCCTTCATCCATAAGATAAGGTACTCCCACTTGATAGTACAGAATATGACTACTGCTGAAACGGGAGACATGTTGCTGTAGCTTTGTATCTTTCACTCATCAGAACAAATGCAAGAAAACCAAATTTCAAAAGATCACAACAACTTATAAAACAGGAGAAAGCGTGCTGACTGGTCGGCAAGTCAACTCGGATTGGCTAAGGCATTGGAAAAGCAACAGATTCATAAGCACAGGTTGAACAAATAGGATGTCCAGAAGTCTCTCCATTCCTAGACATTGACTCCACGTCTTCTCGGTGATGTGTTTTGTCTTGAGGACATTCCTAAAGTTGCCTTCTTGGGATTCTATCAGAACTAAATTCTGAGTAGAGCAATTGCTGTGGTAATCTGGTGTCAGGAATACGAATGATAAGTTCTATCCAGTGGAGAAAATTTCTATGATTTGTATATTGATGCTGGGATTGTTAGTTGGAGATGATGGCATAGTAGTAATGCCACTGAACTAGTAATCTACAGGCCCAGCTTAATGTTCTGGAGATATTTGTTCAAATGCTGCCATGGCAGTTGGAAGAATTTAAATTCAATTAATAAATCTGGAATTGAAAGCTACTGTCATTAATGGTGACCATAAGATTTTTACAATCAATAACAGTTTATCTAGTTCCTTTGCGAAAATAAATCTGCTTTCCTTACCTGATATGATGGCATGTGACTCCAGGCCAACAGCAATGTGATTGAAATGCCCTCTGAAATGACCCAGCAAGCCAGTTGATTGAAGGGCTATTAGGGATTGGTAACAAATGCTGGCCTTGCCAAAGACACCCATATCCATTAAAGAATTTTTTTTAAAAAATGAGGGTGACACTCCAGAAGCCTTCCTGCTTGACAGAGTTAAAAGCTCTTGTGAAGTTGAGAAAGGTCATGTACTACATTTAGTGCGGTTTCTTGCAATTTTTTTCAACTTGCCACACGACTAAGATAACTTCATGTTTTATCATTATACATTACCCTCAGAATGCTCCTTCAAGTTATTGATATAGAATGCAGTATTTGAGACTCAAGCACAGATATGTCATGGTTTCAGCCTACCAAATCAAAAATGTCTCAATCTATGTTCACATATAGTTGTCAATACTATGAGCACTAATTTTTTGTAATAACCTGCAACGTGGTACCTTTGTTTTACAAAATTAAAAAAGCAACATGTATCAGGTTCACCTTAATACCCCGCTAGTAACATCTGCAAAAATCTTTTGACTTGATTTTCCTTTCATTTACAGAAGCTGTTCTGGATTCCAGGGAATTTTGGAAGATCAAAACCAAGGCAATCATATCCAGGTGCCTTCTCAATTTTAAGACACATTAATTTCACCAACACCAGCTCTTGGTCATTAATATCATATTCCTCACTTCCACCAGTTCTCACAGATCGCCATCTCTGCAAATCTCTCCGGCTTTACAACTCACCCAAACTATGTGTGCTCTTCCAATTCTGGCCACTTGAGAATCTGTGTCTTCAATCACTTCACCATTGGCAACTGTACCTTCAGCTGCCAAAGCATCATACTCAGGAATTTTCTACCTAAGTGTCTCTACCATCCTCTCTCTCCTTCTTCAAGATGCTCCTTAAAACCTACAAACCTGCTTTGACAAATCTTTCGGTCATCTGCCCTAATCGATGCTCTCTAGTGAAATTCCTTGATCATTGTACAATGTTAAATATGCTATATGAATATAATTTGTTGATGTATAAATTTTTGGAGTTCTAGCTCGAATTGCTGGATGATCACATTTAACAGAATTACTAGCTTATTACTTAGAACAATTCCTCAAACTGCTGAAAAATGCAATATTTATCAGGTCTAGTTTGCAACAGAGCTTTTTTAGATTATGAGTGTTTCATTATGATTCAGTGAGTGCAATACAAACTCAATAGTTAATTCTGAGACTCTATTACTGATAGTAGCACTTACCAGCAAGATATCCGTGACCACCACAAGCTTCACGGACCTCTTGAATGCCAAATTGAGCGGTCCATGAACAAAGTGATTTACTTGCACTAGACAATGCATGAATTTCTTTACCAAGCTCTGCCTACATATAAAAACAAAGTAACCATTTTGTGAGAAGAAGTGGTTACAGTATGCTACTTATTCAACAAGGGCAATGCAGTTCATCTACAATTTCCTGTCAAGCATTCCTGGTAGTTGAAGCTCCATGCTAGTTATGTAGGAGTAGAAAATCAATTTCAAGTAGTCCCAATTTGCCATATTGTCTGTCTGCTTCTTTTTGTGATTATATGACAGTGGGAGAAAAATGAATATAAAGTTTTTCAGTGCCTCATTAGTGCTCACGATCAAGCATTCAATCTCCTGCGGAATTCAAACTTTTCTCTCAATAGCAAAGGTACATGAAATGCAGTAATGGCTTTATCTTTTGCATCCTTGGCAAGGTTACTTATCCATCAAGTCTACTCCCACTTCTAATCTGCACAAGTAGTAATCTGCTTAATTCTGTATTGTAATGATTGATCTTAGTTTCGACAATCAATTGTAGATTAATGTTTATAAAAAGAAGTCACTTTGAATACACCCAGCATTAATTTGTATGATAATATTGGTGTAAAGATCATTTGGATAGTAATAGAAAGAAGATCTCCCTTATTTATTTCACATCATGAATGAGTTATAATATATACTCTCGGTGAGGTTGAGCCTGTGGGGAATAAAACTTATGCTGTTGTGATCCATTCACAAGCATTTTTTTAAAATTTCATTAGCAAACAAGCTTGTCTTGGGGATTATTTGACACAGAAACAATTGGCTGACTGGCAAATGTCCTTAGTGGTAGCGCAGAAGGATTTTTATGGCGTCATTCACAACGGCTCAGGAAATTTGGCATGTCCATAAGGTCCCTCACCAACTTCTACAGATGCACCATTGAAGAGCATCCTGTCCAGGTGCATGATGGCCTAGTGTAGGAACTGCTCTGCCCAGGACCGTAAAAAACTACAGAAGGTGGTGTTCGCAGCCCAGACCATCAGGGAAGCCACCCTTCCATCCATGGACTCTACTTAATGGCTCGCTGCCGCAGAAAAATGGCCAACACTATCAAAGACACAGCGCACCCTAATAATGATCTCCTACAACTTCTTCTGTCAGGCAGAAGATACAGAAGCCTGAACACACGCACGAGCAGGTTCAGGACCAACTTCTCCCCAGCCGTTATCAGACTGTTGAATGGACTCTAGCCTCAAATAATGTAACTTGCAATGTAACCTGTATGCCTCTAAGTCTTTTTGATCTGCAAACCTTTGCTTGCTGCGATCTGCCTGTACCGCTCGCAAACAAAGCTTTTCACTGTATTTCAGTACACATGACAATAAATCAATCAACCAACCAACCAACCACGGTCAAACATATACACGTGGTGGAACTTTATTGCAAGTTGACTGAGAGGGTACATTATAAATCCAATACCAAGGTAAACTGCAGGGGACAAATTTTCTCATATACTCTGGTAGTTATGTTGAACATATGGTTCTTGGATCGAGGGCACATTGGTGCATATCAAATTGTAACTGACTTTCTGATTCTCAAAGAAACTACTCTTCCTCATACAAATTTTGGCACCCCCAAGGAATTTGCAAGCTGACTATTCTGCCAATGGAAATGAAAGCACGAGTTTATAAAAAGCATTGTGTAGAATGACAGGATTGCAAGACAACAAAATCATATGTGAACAAATGGATTTTTTTAAATGGAAGGTTTCTAATAAAATCAAAAGTGTCAAAAGGTCACAATCAGCAGTATCAAATCAAATACGCTATTAAGAAGCCAATTTTGAACACTTCAAACAGTTCTCATATAGAAATGTGCAATGTTAGTGATGTCATCATGAGAAGAACTTGCAGATTCAGCATCAGACTAATTTTCAGTTGAGTTACTCTACTTTATTGTTAAACAACACACTTGCATTCTGATAACAAAAATATCATGGCCATATTATTTAACTGGGCTACTCCATTTGTGTCCCCAAATGCAAAAGATGCTCTATTAAGACAAATGCGTACATTTAGACAATTATTAATGATCTCTAAGGTTTTAGAGTAGATTTGTAGCTCGGGTTGTGGATGTTGTGGTTGGTTGGCTCGCCGAGTTGGTTCGTTGTTCCGCAGACGTTTCATTATCCTGCTGGGTAACATCATCAGTGCAGCCTCCAATGAAGCACCGTTGTGTTTTCTCTCCTGGTATTTAAACTCTGGAGTCTGTTGAACTGGATTACCTCACTTCCAGTTTTCCTTCGCAATGGAGTGTATATGGGGTCGAGTTCTATGTGTTTGTTGATGGCTTTCTTCGTGGAGTACCAGGCTTCTAGGAACTCCCGTGCCTGTCTCTGCTTTGCTTGTCCCAGAATCTTGGTGTTGTCCCAATCAAATTGGTGGTTCTCCTTATCCATGTGGGTAGAGATGAGTAAGTATTGGTCATGTCTTTTTGTAGACAATTGATGTTCGTGTGCCCTTGTTGTTAATTTCCTTCCTGTTTGTCCGATGTAGTGTTTGTCACAGTCTCTGCAGGGAATCTTGTATATGACATTGGTCCTGTCCATAATGGGCAGTGGGTTTTTGGTTCGGGTGAGCAGTTGTCATAGAGTTGATTAGGGTTTGTGCACTATTCTGATGTCATTATCATCTATCCTTATGTCTTTGATGGAATTGAGGAACTCTTGGGCTGAGTGGAGTGAGTGGGGTGACTTGTTGACGAGGTGCCTTAGTCTCCTTTGCAGTTCCTTGGCTATGGATATGCTACGTAGACGGCACCTTTGTAAACGGACCAAACTGGAGCAGACACACAAACTAATAAACAGCACCCTCACCGGAATCATTCACCAGAGAGGAGGAGAAGGACAAACAGCCCCCATTCCTGGACGTCATGGTACAGCGCAGGACAAATTGGGAACTCCTAACAAAGGTACACAGGAAAGCCAAACACACTGACCAAGTACTGAACTTTAACAGCAACCATCCTAACACACAAACAAAGCTGCGTGAGAACATGATTTAAACGGGCAACAACACACTGCAGTACAGAGTTACGCCAAGAAGAAGAAGAATACCTCTTCCAGGTGTTCAAGGACAATGGATATCCAAAAACTGGGTCAGAAGATGCCTACTTAACGAACGACACCAGGAAGATAGTATATGCCCCAACACGCTCATCATGCTACCTTACATCAGGAACACATCGGAACTAACCACAAGACTTCTACGACCACTGGGCATCAGAATAGCGCACAAACCCTCATCAACCCTACGAAACTGCTCACCTGAACCAAAAACCCACTACCCACTATGGACAGGACCAATGTCATATACAAGATTCCCTGCAGAGACTGTGACAAACACTACATCGGACAAACAGGAAGGAAATTAACAACCAGGGTACACGAACATCAATTGTCTACAAAAAGACACGACCAATGCTCACTCATCTCTATCTACATGGATAAGGAGAACCATCAATTCGATTGGGACAACAAAAAGATCCTGGGACAAGCAAAGCAGAGACAGGCACGGGAGTTCCTAGAAGCCTGGTACTCCACGGAGAAGGCCATCAACAAACACATAGAACTCAACCCCATATACACTCCATTGCGAAGGAAAACTGGAAGAGAGGTAATCCAGCTCAACGGACTCCAGAGTTTAAATACCAGGCGGGAAAACACAACGGCGTTTCATCAGAGGCTGCACTGATGACGTTACCCAGCAGGGTAATGAAACGTCTGCGGAACAATGACCCAACTCAGCGAGCCAACCAACCACAATATTAAATGATACTGTTTACAATTTTTGACAATTTTCAAAAGAAGATCTAACTCTACAGGATAAGCATGTACTATTTGTAACATCACTTGCCTGTCTGTCACTCTTGTCCTTCATCAATATTCCCTTTTGATATTCAACAGAATTCATGAATAGTGACTTGAAAAAGTGGTCTAGCGCATAGGTGGCTGCCACATAAGGAATAAGTCGCCATTGCTGAAATAAAGGAAAATATTTCATTTAAATTGTACATCACAAGAAAAATGACTGATTAGAAAGATAATAACATTAATACCTGACAACAATAATTGTGCACAATCTTTGTAGTAACTCTAGTAGAAGGCTTGAAGAAACAGAGTACAGGGGATTCTGCTATAACGTGATAAGTTGTGTTCCTGTGCAACATCATGCTATAGAAAATTGTGCTATAGAAATAACGGGACCTATGGGAAAAGCGGGATAAGGGGCAGACCACCAAAAAGCATCATTCAAAAGCCTAACACAAAGGATAGCACAGTTTGAATAAATGTTTAATCATATCTAATAATGAAATAAAAGTAAATTTAACACCTTATCTTGAAAAAATATCAAGACGACTTGATGGGGGAAAAGGTCTTGAGGTCGCTCTGTTGTTAATGCAGGGGCTGAGGGTCGTCATCATCACCTTCAGGTGCAGTTAATCCAGAAGTGGATGGCTGTGGTTCATTGTCTTGAGACTGTTTCTTGGGGGTTGGCTTAAAAAAAAGACAGCCTGCTTTTGCTGCCTTGCCCTTTTTCTTCTTTCATGGAGAAGCTGTTTATAGGGTGCCAAATAAGATCTTATTCCACAAACTGCTACCCTGGAGTTTTCTGTATTGCAATCGTTGTCCTCTAAGAGCTGTAACTGCTTCTCAATTTCACTCAGGATAGAAGACAAAACAGAAGTGAAAAGCTCTCATGGTGCTGCATCCTGGACTTCTTCTTCTTCATCTCCAGCTTCCACTTCCCTCTCAGTGACAAGTTGTTGCAGATCAGCCTTGGAGAGGTTTTCACAGTGGGACTCAAGCAGCTCTTCAATATCCTCACTCTCCACCTCTTCAAATCTAACTTGCTTTGCAAGATCAACATAAATGTTCTTTGATTGTTGGGAGCTCCTCTGACGGATCAAACGTTTTAAAATCTTGAAAAAAATCTGGGAGAAGCTTCCGCCAAACTGCGTGCAAACAGTCCTTACTGACATCACCGGCAAAACGATCATGTAATGTTGACACACTCTTTCATGCACCGATGGAATTGCTTTATAGCCAACACAAGTTTGTGTTTTAGAAATAGCGTTCTCCTATTCGTCAGTTGCATTATAGCTGATTCGCGTTGCTGGAACACGTGTTATAGCAGAACCCCCTGTAAACAGATGTTTCTGCCATTTCTCTGCATACCTGTTGAAGCTTTATTTTCACTAGGCCTTCACCTCCCTGCTTTATGGTGGAGATCAAAGAACATGTTTGAAAACACCTCCACTACGTCTTCTGCAATCATTTCTTTTAATTAAACAAAGGGATAAGCTATGGGACGAAGTTATAGAGTGGGAAACAATTTTCTGACCCTGTGATACAGAACTTTTCAAATCAGATTTTGCTGACTTCTAGTGGTCCCTGGAACCTTTGCAAGGGATCCCATGAAAAATAATGTGAAAATGCTTATCATTAAGTGGGAGTGGAATACAACCACTTCATGTGCTGTTGGATGTAGGCTAGCTATCTTTCCCAAGAGGGAAGCATGCACAGAGAAGCACAAACACAAAATGAAATACATGCTTTATTAAAAACACATTGCATATTCAACACTTTTGGATTAACTATTTAAATGTTATAATATTATGAGCAGGATGAGGTTGACATGATTATGAACCATTGAATCATACAGAATAGATGAGGGTCTTTGGCCCATCAAGTCTGCACCAACTACCTTAAATTTACACTGGTCCCACTTTCTAGCACTTAGCCCACTGCTTTGAATGTTATGATATTTCAAGTGCTCATCCAACTACTTTTTTAAAAGTTGAGGTTCCCTGCCTCATCTATCATCCCAGATATTGCATCCCAGATTCCCATCACACCCAGTGGATTCATTTCCTCAAATCCCCTCCAAATATCCTGTCTTTCATCTTAAGATTGTTTCACCAAGTTATTGACTCTTCAACTAAGCGGAACAGCTGTTTTCTACCCACCCAGTCCATACCTGCCACAATCTTAGATACCTCAATCAGGTCTCTTCTCAGCTTTTTCTGCTTTGAAGCAAACAATCCAAGCTTGTCCAGTCTCTCTTCATAGCTAAACTGCTCCATCCCAGGCAACATTCTGGTGAATCACCTCTGCACTCCCTCCAGTGCAATCACATCTTTCCTACAGTGCAATGACTAGAACTGCACACAGAACTCCAGCTGCGGTCTAACCATAAAGTCCTGAACCGCTCCAACATGACTTCCCTGCCTTATTATCTATGCCATGACTGGTAAAGGCAAGTATCATGTATGCTTTCTTAACTATCCTATTAACCTGACCAGCTACGTTCAGGGCCCAATGGACAACTACCCAAGATCTCTCTGTTCCTCTGAGTTTCTAGTGTCCTGCCATTCATTGAGAACTCCCTTGTTTGTTACTTCTTCCAAAATGGATCTCTTCACACTGTTCAGGTTTAAATTCTCATCTGACTAATCGTCTAAATCCTGCTGTTACGCAAGATCTTCTTCACTGTCAATGAATTGCCCAGTTTTCATGTCACCTGCAACCTTACTTATCGTCCCACCCCTTTTCTTTTATATTAGGTATAACAAAAAAATAAGAGACACACCTTTGAACCCTGTGGTCCACCACTGGACACTGGCCTCCCATCACACAAACAGCCTTCTACCACCACTCTCTGTCTCCTACCTCTAAGCTAATTTTGGATCCAACTAGCCTAGCTATCCTGGAACCCATGTGTTTTTACCTTCTTGATCAGTCTCCCATGTGGGACCTTGTCAAATGCTTTGCTGAAATCCATATAAACATCAACTGAACTACATTCATTTATACATCAGGTCACTTCGTCAAAAAATTCAAATTTGTTCAACATGACCTCTCTCTGACAAAGCCATGTTGGCAATCGCTTGATCAAAACTTGCCTCTCTAAGTGGAAATAAATTCTGTCCTTCAGAATTTTTTCCAATCGTTTCCCTATCACTTATGAGAGACTCAGTGGACATGAAAACTAGAACCCGATCAGCTCCATTCCTGAGGCACCTCCCATTTTGCCAGAGAAGAATTAAAAATTTGGGTCAGAGCCCCTGCAGATTTTCCCCTAGTCTCCAACATCATCGTGGGATACAACTTATCCGGATGGGGATTTGTCCACTTTTAAGACTGCCAAGACCTCCAATACTTTCTCACTTCCTATGTCAAATTGCTTACGACGCTCACAGTCTCTATTCCCAAATTCTGTACCTACATCCTCCTTCTCCAAAGAGAACATATGTGAAATGTCTTCCAGCTCTATGTATTGACTGTGCCGTTGATCCCTAATCAACTCTGTCCCTGGTTATCCACTTCCCTTTGATATACCTTTAAAGCATCTTCAAATTCTCCCTAATCTTATCTTGCAGTTTCCTTCATGCCCCCTCTTTGCTCTCCTAATGTTTTAAGATTTCCCTGCCACCCCTCCTTGCACTTTCCATACTCCACTAGGGCCTCCGTTGATTTTCTCCCTTTATATCTGTTCATGGCCTCTCTTTTCCTTCTTATCCAGTCCTGAATATTCCTCGACATGCAGGGTTTTCTTTACTTGCTGCTCCTATATTTCGCATATTGGGTCTACACTCTCACCAAGTCAATTCTGAATGCACCCCACTGTTCTGCTGTAGATTTACCCAGAAATAGCTGTTCCTGGTCTACTGTGGCCAGATCCTGCCTTATTTTAATAAAACATGCCTTCCACCAATTCAAAACCCTTTTCTGCAGGCCATCGTTTTCCTTTTCCACAGCAAACTTAAAACAGACTATTGTTGTGGTCGCTATCACTAAAATGCTCTCCCATTGCCACCTTGAACACCTGCCCAGTTTCGTTCTCCAGAATTTGGTCCAACACTGCACTGTTCCTTGTTTGCCTTTCTAAATGTTGATAAGAAAATGCTCTCCTGAATGTATTTCAGGAAATCTATCCCCTCTCAATCATTTACACTATGACTACCTCAACTAATGTTAGGGAAGTTGAATCCCCTAATATAATTACCCTATTATTGTTTTTACACAAAAATATCATTTGTGAGCAGGACCCTAGGGGACTCCTGCCCTACCGCTGGATTCGGCCTGGTGTTCACCCATTCCCTTCTTTCTTTCAGTCCCTTAAACTACATGTGACTGCCTCTCTAAATGTGCTATTATTGTTTTTACACACTTCAGTAAGTTATCTACATACTTGTTCCTCTATTGCCCAGTGACTGTCTGGGATCTATAATACACTCTAAACTGTGCGACTGCACCCTTTTTATTCCTAAGGTCTACCTACAAGCCCCATTTGAAGACCATTCTAAGATATCGTTCCTCTTTACTGCAATAACTGACATCTTAATTATTAATGGGTCACCACCACCTCTTTTAAATCCTCCACTGTCCTGCCTAAAGACCCTGTACACTAGAATGTCAAGTTGCCTGTGCGGCCCCTCCCTCAAACATGTCTGAAATGGCAACATCACAACTCCATGTGTCAATCCACATCCATAACTCACCTGCTTTACCAGTAATACTTCTGGGATTAGAGGCAATCCAGACTCGCTGAATTCTCTCTACCTCGGTCCCTTTATTAAAGTACGCTGTTTCCTTTTTTAAATAACTCCCATCCCACTGCCAAACTAGTTTAAATTCCTCTCAACGGCACTAGAAAAAGCACCCACAAGGATGTTGGTCCTATTCTGGTTCAGGTGCAAACCATCCTGCTTGTGCAAGTCCCACCTTGCCAGAAGTCATCCCAGTGATCCACGAATCTAAAACCCTTCCTTGTACACCAACTCTTCAGCCACACATTCATCTGCCCTATTCTCCCATTTCTGAACTCACTAGATGTGGCACTAGGAGTAATTTCAACCTTTGAGGTCCTGCTCTTTAGTCCTAGCTTCACAATTCTTGATGCAAGACCTCATCCATCATTCTACCTACAACCATTGATACCAATGTGTACCACGACCTATCTATTGTCACAGAGTCATAAAGTCCCTACAGCCACTCATGACATCCCTGACCCTGGCATCATGGAGGCCACACACAATCTTGTGAGTCATACCCGCAGCCACAGAAACACATGTCTGTTCCCCTAACTAATGAATCCCCTATCACTGTGGTTTTTGCTTTTTTCTTCCTCCCCCCAGTCAGGCCACTTGTGGTGCCAGCAGCTTGGTTCTGCCTGCACTCCCTTAAGGAACCAGAACATTCATCAGTTTCCAAAGGAAAACCAATTTGTGAGCAGGTCTGCTGGATTTTCTTTGACGGCCTGGTGGTCACCCATTCCCTTCTCTCCTCCAGTCCCTTAAACTGAGTGTGACCGCCTCTCTGAATGTCAATGACTTCCCACACATGACAGGTCATACATTGCACTCAGCTAACTTCACCTGCCATGAATTGAACATGAACTTAATCTTATTTGCTAACTTTTCTAATTACTTAATCTTAAAAATACTCCCTTTGCCTTAACTGTCGTCTCCTTATTCTGAATTTTTTACTTAACCCTTCTACTTCTCAGTTAATCCTTAATAATTGACCATAAAAAAAAGCACAGGAACAGGCCCTTTGGCCCACGATGTGCCGAACATGACACCAAGTTAAGCTAATCCTTTCTGCCTGCCTATGGTGCTTATGGTTCATATTTCTCCATTCTTTGCACATTTATATGTTTATCTAAAAGTCCCTTAAACATCCCTAACGTATCTGCCTCTACCACCAGCCCTGGCAGCGCGTTCCAGGCTCCTAGTATTGTGTAAAAAACTTGCCCCTCACATCTCCTTTGAACCTCCTCCCTCTCACCTTAAATGCATGCCCTCTAGTGTTGGACATTTCAACTCTGGGGAAAAGGATTCTGACTGTCAAGCCTATCTATGTATCTCATAATTTTATAGACTTCTATCAAGTCTCCCCTCAGCCTGCAACGCTCAACAGAAAACAACCCGAATTTTACTAGCCTCTCCTTTTAGCTCATACCCTCTAATCCAGGCAGCATCTTGGTAAATCTCTTCTGCATCTCTCCAAAGCTTCCACGTACTTTCTGTAATGTGGTGACCAGCACTGAACACAATATTCTAAAGTGTGGCCTAACCAAAGTCTTATAAAGTTGCAACATGATATCCTGATCTCCCAGCTCTTGGATCTTGGTCTGCTCCCACCCCCACTGATCTGGGAAAGTAGTTTGGAAAACAAGACAGCAGAAAAAAAGAAAAAAAAACTTCCTTTCCCTACTTTACCTAACTCCCACACTACCAACTAGGAGAGGTTATTTTTACTCTCACAGATTCATAGAGGGCAGAAAAGGCCCTTCTGCTTATTGAATCTGCACTGACATAACTACCAGCAAAAGTGCATTCCTGCACTTGACCCATATCCTTGAATGTTATGGTATTTGAAGTACTCCTCCAAATATTTTTTAAAGGTTGTAAGGTTTCTGGCTTCCACCAGCTTTCCAGTCAGAACATTCCAGATTCCGACCACTCACTGAGTGAAAAAATGTTTTCCCAAATCTCCTCTGAATCTTTTGCCCCTTAACCTAAAACTGTGCCCTCTTGTGACTGACCCTTCAGACCAAGGGGGACAGTTGCTTTCTATTCACTCTGTCTATACCCTTCATTAGCTTACACACCTCAATCATGTCCCCCACAGTCTTCTCTGCTCTAAGGAAAGCAATCCAAGTCTACCTAATCTCTCCTTATTGCTCAACTTCTCCATACCAGACAATATCCTGTGAACCTCCTCTATATCCCCTGTAGTGCTATCACATCCTTGCCATAGTGAGGTGACCAGAACTGCACACAGTACTCCAGCTGTGGCCTGACCAACACTCTGTACAACTCCAACATTACCTCCTTGCTCTTATAGCTTACGCCACAACTGATGAAAGCAAGTGTCCCATATGGCTCCCTAAATATCCTATTCACGTGCTCTGCCGAATTCAGGGATCTATGAATAACTACCCAAGATTTCTCTCCTGCCTTAAGCTCCCCAGTGTCCTTGCATTAAATATTCCCTCCTCTTGTTTCTTCTTCCAAAGTGCATCAACTCGCACTTATCAGGGTTAAATACCATCGGTCACAAATCTGCCCATCTGACCAACCCATCTATATCTTCTATAACCTACAACCACCTTCTTCATTATTAACCACTCTACTAATCTTGGTTTTGTCTGCAAATTTGCTTAACATTCCCTCCACATTTTTCACTATATCATTTATGCATATAAGAAACAATAAGGATCCCAGTACTGATCCTTGTGGTACATCGCTGGGCACCAGCCTCCAGTCACTCAAACAGCCTTCTATAACTACCCTTTGTGTCCTATTACTAAGCCAGTTTCTGATCCATCTCGCCAAGTTTCTCTCAATTCCATGTGCTTTAATTTTCTCAGTCTCCCATGTGGGACCTTGTCAAAAGCTTTGCTGAAATCCATATAAATTACATCAACTGAATTTCGCACATCCACACACTCGATCACATTTTCAAAAAATTCGAACAAATTTGATGGACTTGACCTCTCTCTGACAAAGCCATGCTGACTATCCCTAATTAACCTGTGCCTTTTCAAGTGGGTGTTAATTTGCTCCTTCAGAATTTTCTCCAATAGTTTTCCTATCGCTGATGGGAGATTCAGGGCATGTAATTTCTTGGTTCATCTTTACCACCCCTCTTAAAAAAACACATTAGCCATCCTCCAGTCCTTTGACACTTTCCCTGTGGCCAGAAAGAAATTAAAAATTAGTGTCAGAGCCCCTGTAATTTCCTGCCTCAACTCCCATGGCAGACTGGGATGTAATTCATCTGGGCTAGGGGATTTGTCTGCTTTTAAGCTTGACAGAGCCTCCAATAACTCCCCATTTTCCTATGTCAAACTGTGCAAGCTCCTTTTTCTGAATCCTGTACCTATGTCCTCCTTTTCCAGAGTGAAGTCTGCAGAGAAGTATTCATTCAAAATCCTTCCAATGTCCTGTGGTTTCACACACGGGTTGCCCCCTTGATCCCTAATTGGCCCTATTCTTTCCCTGGTTAACATTTTCCCTTTAATGTATTTGTAAAATATCTTAGGATTCTCCCTAATCCTTCATAAGTCCTTCTTCATGCCCCCTATTTGTTCTTCTACTTGCTTTCTTAAGTTCCCTCCGGCACTTCCTGTATTCCTCTCGGGTGACAGCTGAATTGCTCTCTTTGGACTTGCTAAAAGTCCTACCCTTCTTCTTTATCCAGTCTTGAATTGTCCTAGACATCCAGAGTTCCTTGTACTTATTGCTCCTACATTTCCCTCTAAAGGGTACATGTTGGGCCTACACTCTCCCCAACTCCTTTTTGAATGCCCCCCATTATTCCGCTGTAGTCTTACTGCAAGGAGCTGTTCTCAGTCTATTGTGGCCAGATTCTGCTTTATTTTAAAAAAATCTGCCTTCCCCCAAAGAGACTTAACTATCTATCTTTTAAACCCTACTGAACAACTTATGGTTATTGAAAAACTAGCAGCAACTAGATTCTAAGGTAAGAGATTACCTTTTACACTCTTACTCTTAAAAAACTGCCACACTCCACTCTCTGAAAGTTACACTCTGCAGGTTACAAAAGGAGCTCTTCAAAAGTTTTGAAATATGTGCTTATTTGTGCTATCCAAGATACTCATACCAGACAACACGAATCTGCGTCTATAAGGCATTAAAGGGTTCACACATCTATCCTTTAGCAGTATTCCCCAAAATGCAGGGGATTGTTCACTATCTTCATAGTCATATGGACTTCAAGACTATGGTGAACAGAATATAATGAATGTGCAAATATTTGACAGGAACTGAATTACATACAACAGTTCCCATTAATCAGGGAATCACTGTGTCTCCATTATTTTTGATCACTGTAATACCTAAACACAAATTCAAATATTGCTTAAATGTGGAGTTAAGAAAAGCATCAAGCCATCAGCTAAAAATACAAATCAAATCAAGCTTTATCCCTTGGTAAATAACAATGGTAATGACAATAATAACTTGTTTTTAGATTACTCTATCAACATGGAAAAATGCTGCACAGGAATAACTAAAAATGACTAGTTTTTATTGCAATTTGTACCTATTACAGTCGATGGTTATTTTTCATAATACGTTACATTGGCACATACCTGCAATTGATATTCAAGCAGTGGTATTTCATCATGATCTGTTGGTCCAAACTGACGACGTACTGCAGAATACCGAATGCCAATTGTCAAGCACAGCTTAAGATTTGTGGTTGCAATCCCTGTGATTGAAACTCTACCAGAAGATAATGCTCCAAGTGAAGCACCAAATCGATCATTAGAGTTCTAAATAGGAATTACAAAAACATGGGTATCAACTACAAAGTATCACTTCCAGTACTGGAATAATTGAAAATCACTCATGATAACATTTTTTGGATGAATGCAAGAAAGATTAGTTATAACAAAGGTGCAGGGCTGGATGAACACAACAGGCCAAGCAGCATCATAGGAGCAGAGAGGCTGATGTTTCAGGCCTAGACCCTTCATCATTTTTCTGATGTCAGCCTCTCTGCTCCTATGATGCTGCTTGGTCTGCTGTGTTCATCCAGCCCTGCACCTTGTTGTCTCGGATTCACCAGCATCTGCAGTTCCTACTATCCAAGATTAGTTATAAATTAAGATGTGGAGATGCCAGTGTTGGATTGAGGTGGACAAGGTCAGAAGTCACACGACACCAGATTATAGCCCAACAAGTTTATTTGAAATCACAAGCTTTTGAAGCGCTGCTCCTGCGTCAGGTGAAGTCTAAATTAAGTGCACTTCTAATTTTAAATGTGCGATGCCCTGAATGCTTTTCAAGTAAAACCTATATTTTAGGTTGAAGCGATGATCCCTTGAAGAACTAAGCTTTTCTGAAGGATACTTTCTTGTAAAATGCAACTTCCTTCCAGTGACCATGTAACCAAGCTGTCTGGGAAATAAACAAGAGTAGACAGGGTCAACAAGAAGTTAATTATGGTTGGGTACAGATTCTTATGTGTGATTCTGTTTCAAGTAAATTCGTTCAGGTTTGGAACAAACTGGCTACAAGAAACATTGCCTTGAAGCAGGATTCTGTTGGAATTCTGCGTGTCGGCTAAAAGGATTTAAAACTCTTGTTAATTGACTAACACTGAGTGGGTGTGGATGGACAGAAGGTGTGCAGGGGTGAGGGGAGAGGACAGACTGAGCAAAGAGCAAGGGAAGAGAGAGATATGGCAGAAAGTTAGGGGAGACAGACGGGAAAGAGCGGACAGAAAGAGAGGAAGAGAAAGAGAGAAGAGAGAAAGAGAAAGTGGGAGACAGAGAGTGTCTTTTAATGCAAGAACTGAAGTTAAAAAACATTGGACCTAAGAAAGTTCTGATCTGACATAACACAGTGTGGAGCTGGAGGAACACAGCAGGCCAAAGCAGCATCAGAGGAGCAGGAAAGTTGACAGTTTGGGTCGGGAAGGTGGATCTGAAGTGGCTACGCTCAAGACACTAGTGATGGCATGTGGAAATGCAAGTTTATAACCAAGGAATGTTTATAGAAACTCTGAAGGAATAATCTTGCTTCAAATAAGCAAAAAGCCCTATGTGAAGCTTTAAAACAGTACTCATCTCAAGTGGTTAATTTTCTAATTTTCAGTAAGTATTGGACTTACATTTTTCAGATTGTTATGTCAAATAGTGTGGAACAAAATTTGAGTTAAAATGTTTTGTTTAGAGTACATGTAACTGATTATTTCAGATGGAGTGCAGTTATTAGTAATCATATTCTTTTTGTGTACAGGCAGTCCCGAGTTGTGAACGGGTTCTGTACTTCAGTCTGTTTGCAAGTTGATTTGTACTGGGTTGGAACACAATTCAGGACAATCTAAAGCAGCCATTCTTAAGTCCAAGCAAAGGTCAGATTTTTAAAACTACACCCTTATATAGGATTGTGTTCACAAGTTGGAGGCTTGTAAATTGTGACCGTAGTGATTTGAACATGAGCTAGGTAGATCTCATTGCCTATGAGATCCTTCATTAGGGTTGTTAACCTGGGAAAATCAGGGAGTCCTGGCTGACAGATATAAACAGGAGATTCAGAAAGTCTCCTCATTCTAGGGTCTGGCTCTGAGCTGTCTGGTCAAAGCCCATGTACTATGCACATGTAAATAAAGGGTGACTTTCGTGATGGGATACTGGCCTCTCAGCACTTATTTCAGTGGCTGAGAAAACAGGATGCTCCTGAAGAAAGTTCGCTCACAACAGTCTTCTTTGAGTTGAGGTAAGCATTTCTAGTCTCATGCCTTTATTTGGGAAGCTTGTGTTGATCCATCCTGTCGTACGTGGAACGAATGCGTTATTTTTTCTGGGCAAATGACATTGGGACAGATGAAAAGCAATGAGTAATCCTTCTGACTGCTTGTGGGCCCACAGTATTTTCAGTTATTAGGAGCCTATCTTTCCCTGAGGTGCCAGATACCAAAACCTTTCAAGAGTTGACAGATTTAGTTAAGAATATTACGACACCAAGCCTCCTCTAATTCTGAGTTGCTACTGGTTTTATTAGGCTGTTTAAGAACCAGGGAAAACAAAAGAGCCATCACAACCAGGATAGAAACCTTTCTGAACTCAGCGAGACCAGATCACTGCAGAGGACGGGATATAACTATGGGTAGCAAGAGTGATTCCCCAGAATAAAGGTCGCTGCCAGATACTAGCTGAACTCCAGCAGGTTCATCCAAATGAAAATGTTGGCAAGATGTCATGTCTGGTGGCCATGGTTTGGATACTGACATTGGGCATTGCCCCACCAGTGCAGCAGAGTGCCAACAAGGACAGAAATTACCACCAGCAATGCCCCCACTTTTGTGGGAATGGCCTCAGCGGTTAGCACTGCTGCCTCAAAGTGCTAGGGTCCTGGGTTTGATTCCAGCCTAGAGCGACTATCTGTGTGGAGTGTGCACATTCTCCCTGTGTCTGCGTGAGTTTCCTCCGGTTTCCTCCCACAGTCCAAAGATGTGCAGGCTAGGTGGATTGGCCATGCTAATTGCCCATAGGGATGTGTAGATTAGGTGGGTTATAGGGGGATGAGTCTGGGTGAGATGCTGTGAGGTTTGGTGTGGACTTGTTCGGCCAAAGGGCCTGTTTCCACACTGTAGGGGTTCTATAAAAAAAAAAACCCTGGACTCTGTTGCACATGGGCTATGCCGGTCCTTTCATGTGCTCAATGTTCTTGGTCATCATGGATGCCCATTCAAAGTGTTGGATGTGCATAGAATTCATTCAGCAAATTCAGGGATGATGATCGAAAAGCTGCGAACCTCATTCGTACTACACAGACTCCTGGACGTAATGGTCACAGACAATGGGGCGTCATTTACCAGCAAGGATTTTGAGTGTTTCCTACAGTTGAATGGCATTCGGCATGTTCAGACAGTTCTATCGTCCAATTGTCTGGTGGAAACAGCAGTCTAAACATTGAAGGCAGGCTTAAAGAAACAGCCTACAGCTTCACTCACTACCAAACTGTCCCAGTTCCTGTGTGATTACAGGACCACCCCTCACACAACTACTGGGATAGCTGCAGCAGAGTTGCTAATTGGCAGAAGTGTCCGCATGAGATTGTACCTAAATGTCCAAACTGGGCGGGGGCAGGGAATAGCAGCTGGAACACCAATGCCATCCACATGTCATACAAAGTTTACGTAGTTAGGGCAGTCCTGAACAAACACGTGGATCACAAGAAAGCTGCTACCTCGCAAACAGGACAGGAGCAAAACATACCTGCCCCCTCAGAACAGCCACAAAGGCTGTCAGAAACTGTGGTATCTCCCTCTCCATTTAGCGACGATGAAACTTCAGAGTGCATGATGGCTGCAGCATCAATACCATTACGGTTTGAAGAGGAGGAGGGAAATCACCTGAGACGCTCCTGGCACAAGAGACAGGCTACATTCTGGTACACGCCATCCGAGTCAGAGTAGGACGAACCAGATCTGGTATGAAAACGTCCCAGGTGAAGCTACAAGATTAAAACAGGCCTACATCCCCGGACTTGGGAGGAGGAGGGATGTAATGACTGGAACAAGGGCCAGGTGGATCTCATGGACTATGAAATCCTTGATTGGGCTTTTTAACCTGGGGCAATGAGGGACCCCTGGCTGAATCTCCTCATTCTAGGGACTGGCTCTTAGCTGGCTGGTCAGAGCCCATGTACTGTGCATATGTAAATAATGGATGACTTGGTGACAGGATACTGGTCCTTGTGCAGTTATTTCACTGAATCTTGTTGTTTTATCCTTTTTGCAAATACCTGGGGTTTTTGGATTGCAAAGCAAAAATTGCTGGTCTCAACTAAGATCATAAAAAATACCTACACTCTTCTGGTTATCCTTTTACTCTCCAAAAAATTACTGACGCAAACAAGTCTTTACAGGAATTGAGCTGTACATGATTAAACCGAAGTAAAAAGTACCTGTTAGTCATTAACACATTCAACAAGACTTAAAAAAGCTGAAATAAAGCAGCTGCTAAGAAATTCACAGACACATCTTCAACATTACAGACCTAATTGAAGGTAATAACAACCTTACTATAGTGGTCATTTTATACCACATTCAGCCTGATCACGAGCATAACATATTTTAACAAGTTCTGCATAAATGCTGGCACAGTAGGTTCCTACAGCTGGTAACACGGCAGCTTGTATTGTGGTATGCAGAGCTTTGGCCAGCCATCCTTTTTTTAAAATCAGCCTTCTGTGACACATGGACATCTTTAAATGCTGCTACAATAAAGTAAAGGAGAACCATACATGTAGACGGTATTTTCGGTTATTGTGTTTCACCTTGAACGAAGTTGTATAAGTTCCTTCAGGTGTCACATCTCCAGTTCTATTCAGTAGATTTTCTCGTGGTATTCTAACATTGTGGAACATTGCAAATCTGTTAAAAAAACAAGGAATATTTTGTAAGGCCCCTCACCACCAACAACATCTCATACAACTGTCATCAATTAGAAATCTGTTGAAAAATTTCAGCAAAGCATTCCTACTACTTCAATACATGTAAAATTTGTATGTCACCTGTTGTATTAACTCCAGTTTTTAGAAACTGCATATCTGATGATTAAGTCTGATTCTGGGTGGCACGCTGGCTCAATGATTAGCACTTTAGCCTCACAGCACCAGGGACACACGTTCGATTCCACCTTCAGGCAACTGTGTGGAGTCTGCACGTTGTCCCAATGTCTTGTGCAGCTTTCTTCCGGGTGCTCTGGTTTCCTCTCACAGTCAAAAGATGTGCAGGCTAGGTGGATTAGCCATGGGAAATGCAGAGTTACAGGAATACAGTAGTGGGGCGGGTCTGCGTGGGATGCTCTTTGGAGCATTGGCGTGAATTTGATGGGTTGAACGGCCTACTTCCACATGCTAGGGATTCTATGATTGGGCATCACTTCTTTTTATTCATTCATGAAATGTGGGCTTCACTTGCTGGGCCAGCATTTAACTGCCCTCTGTTCTGCAGCCAAATCTGAATTTTACAGGTGCAATGTAAGGTTTCAGGACATGGTTTCCTATTTTTCATTCCTTTCTGGAAAAAGTACCACTTCTCAGCATGAGAGAGCAACTTGTCTGTAGTCTGCTATGTTGATTCTTCAGTCAAATTAGACCAACATGAATGACTAACAACAGAACTAGAGTTGGGACTTTTAGAATTCTACTGGAAATTTTTTAATTTCACTATTTAATGAATAGATCCAGCACTGGGAAAGGTGCTAATTCTTCCTCATTGCAATTATAGATCTGAGGATCAGTTGCTTACATAATTAAAGTGAGTCTTTTCCAATGGAGCACTGACTAGATTGTGTAAGCTTTTTTGAAGACATAAACATAATATTTCTGCACTAACAATTCTGGTTGAAACCATTCTAACTTATGGCTCATAACAGCAAATTTATTACTTATAGGTACAAATGCTGTTCTGGTATTTTAGTGAATGTTTATTGATAATGATAAAGTAAAATCCATTGGAATTTGGATGCACATGGGCTAACATTAATAGCTTCTGGCAAAGGAAAAACCTGTGACGGCATTTTAATAGGATGACTGCAAATGTGTTTAGGACTGCTATGGCTAAATGCAGAAGGTTGAACTGAATATTGACAAAATTCTTTCAACATATCTTCTTGTGGGCAACATTTTTAACAGTTAGCTCAATCTAGTAGCAACTGAAGCAGACCATCTGCAAACAGCTATTGCATATTACTAAATACAAATTGTTTTGATGATTAGAAACCCAAACTTTACATGCAAAATTATTCTGTGGAGGGGAAAAAGGCAGTCGCATGTACTTTTCACTTAAATGGAGATTGATAAACAGAAACACACAAGACAGCAGGCCAATAAGACCATTAAATGAAATACAACAATCTGGAGAATGTCAGAGTCATGAGAGACGTCATCATCACACAGAGATTTGGAATACTGTAAATTTTCTGTGTGTCAAGGAAGGCATTCGGTAAGTTTAAATATTTGATATTTCAATTTCAGTTTCAGCACATTACTTTTAATATACATTTCAGTCAAGCTAAGCTCTTATTTGCTATTTGAGTTCCAACTTCTATTCCTTTAAATGAAAGCTTCGTAACTTTTTCCACAGACTTTCCTCCGAATAAAATAATTTAGAAACAAGACAAAGAATGGATCATTAGAATGATTATAAACATAAAAGAAACTTAATCACAGGCTTATGCTTTTTTGCCAGGTTTCTAATATTAAACTGTACCCATAAAATAAATAGTTGAAATTGATATTACTTAACAATATACTAAAGAAACCTTCAAATAATATTGAAATAATATATCATGAGTCACTTGATAATCCAAGAGGCACAAGGAGTACATCTTGGGAAATCATTGACATGATAACTGATTGGAATCACAGGCTATGCAATCAAAATTCACTGAAAATGTGCTTATTGGGTAAATGATGACCTACATTATATCATAAAATCACCCCCCTTCATTTCACAAACATAAAGTATGTTATTTTACGTATACTTTCTTTATTTCCTTTGTGGATACAGATTTTGTGCTCACTTACATGTCTATCTATTGGGCTTTCTCTCTCTGCCTAGTACTCTTGCATTGACCATAAAACTACACTTACTAGCCATCACTACTTCTGATAATCTCAAACGTAATGCACATAATTGATTTAACAATTGGATTGCTATTATTAATGGTTTATCAAGAACAAATAGCTGAAATTGATATCTATGCGCAATGGGCAAGAGTCCAATAATAATAAGTAATCAATACAATTGTTGCACTGGCTACAGAGGACTTGCTGGTTGTAAAGTAGTAAATTGGTAAGATATGAATAGTCCCACATGTACAGCTGCAAACTTCACCTGCCAAAATTTCAAATAAACCAGGCCGATGGGTAGAAAAATAATCCAAAATAATTACAGCAGCTGTTACTTCATCATGCCTCAGTTTGTCTGTAATTTTCTTTCCACCACACCATACATACATTCTAAAGACAACCTAATATATTTATATCACATATTTTCCTGTTTGCTATTTATAATAGAAAGAAAGCATTTTAAATTCGCCACATCCTATGCCAGAGTGAGACGTCTAGCAGCTACAAGGATGAATGGGACAGGAATGTAGATTGATTTAATTTTTGTTGAAATGTTGTTCTGACTGAGACTAAAATTATGCTGCATGAGTGAGAATTGTTGACTCAAACTTATAACTCATTGCATTATACAAGACATTAGGAAAGCATGTTGCTTCAAATGACCATTTGCTATTTAGAATGTTAATATGTAATAAGACAAAAATACTAAATCTTGCTGTATCTGAGCTTCAAGGTCCACTCAGCGCACGGCAGCAGTTCCTGTAAATATACTTTGTATTAAAGTGGGTGTTGAAGGTTGGTTTCTTTTTTTTCTGTTTTCTAGATTTTATTCCCAGACTTACCACAAGCAGAATTTGATAAAAAAAAACCATGATTTAAATCAACTATGTATAGGCAAATATCTGAGCAAACTAAAAAACATTGAAACCTAAAGAAAAATACCAAATTTGCTGTTTAACCTGAAAAAGGGACTGTTTTATTTTTTAAAAAAATCTTCAGATTTGTGGTTTAGCGTGCAGAGAATGTGAGGATAAGTTTGTAGTGCCAGATACCACATTTGTGTCAACAGTATGGAGTTCCTGTTTGTAGAGTAGTGCAAGGGTTAAGACAACAAAATATGATTCACCGATCTGTGAATAATCATTGCATGTGCTTCCAGACACCACACTCTGTCTGACTTAAGCAAGCACTTTACAATTTGTTGAAGAAAATAGTTTACATTTTAGGGTTATTGAAGCTCAGAGGAAAGGGATGTAATTAGAATGTAAATAAATTTAAATACACTACAAATTCATGTTTATTGCTGAAAAACAAAATGCTGTCAAAGGTTTGCCACTTTCTCACATCAGGATAGATACAAGAATGCCAAATACCAAGTGCAATATGACTCACCTAAGCTAGCTAGAAGTTACAAATTTTTAGTTATTCATTCATAGCATGGGGGCATCGCTGGCTAGGCCAGTTTTATTGTCCATTCCTAATTGCCCAGAGGCAATTAAGTTGTGAGTCAACTATATTACTGTAGGTCTGGAGTCACATGTAGACCAGACCAGGTAGGAATGGCTATTTCCTTTTTTAAAAGCACATTAGTGAACCAGATGGGTTTTCTGACAATTTACAATGGATAAAAAGGTTATCGTTAGACTTATAATTCCAGATTTTATTGAATTCAGATTCCACCACCTGCTGTAGCGGGATTTGAACCCAGGTCCCCAGACCGTTACCTCTGGGTCTCTGGATTAACAGTCCAGCAATACCACCACGAGACCATCGCCTCCCTATATCCTATATTATTATGCAGGGATCTGTTGCCTTCAGTAAAATGGAACATGTATAGACATTGCACCTTTCTAAACTAAACAAAAGCACAGGGATCAATATTCCCTTGCAAACTCCATGGCAATACCCTGACCAACCAGAGCTGACTTGCCAACTGTAGTAATTGGAACGAGATCAGTCAGGTGGATCTCAGAATAGGAGTTCCTTGATTAGGGCTGTCAACCTGGTCCAATCAGGGAGCCCTGGTTGACAAATATAAACAAGAGTGTCAGGGGTTCTGAGCACTCTAGGAGCTGACTCCGAGCGAGCTGGATCAGTGTCACGTACTGTACGTGTATAAAGGTTGACTTTGCGATGTATTACTGGCCCTCATGGAGTTATTTAACCAACCAATCTGAACTTTTCTCTTACACAGTATAAATCATTGCTCTCTATGAAATTTGGCATTCTTGCATCTTTCCCGATCACATCAAGAAGAAAAGCTTTGAACAGATTGCCTTTTCTCAGCAATTTTCAAGTTCTGTCTTACCAAGCAGCATATTTTCTGTTTGTTAAGCAAATTCTTTGTTTATTTTATGCATTCACAGGATGTGGGCATCACCGGCTAGGCCAGCATTTATTTCCTACCTCTAATTGGCTAGAGGGCAGTTAAGAGTCAACCATATTGTCGTGGGTCTGGAGTTACACATAGGCCAGACGAGGTAAGCTAATCAACAATGGTTTCAAGGTCCTCATTTGACTCTTAATTCCAGGTTCTCAATGAATTCAAATTTCACTTTTTCCCCATGGCAGATTTGAACACGAATCCCAGAACATTACATGGGTCTCTGGATTAATAGTCTAGGATAAAACTACTGGGCCATTACTTCCATTATTCACTGATATGAAAGCCACAATCTCTTATCTGATGTTATCAAATTTTAAAAAAGAAAGCTAAATTCTGAAATGTAATATGAAAATTTAAGATCTTACCTTGATAGCACTTATACCAAAGAAAGTAAAATTTGTGGGTTGATT